AGCAACATCCTGCAAAAAGATGCCATGTTTGCGTAAAACATAATATAAGAAGTGAAACAATTTGGCAGTGTAAAATATGCCTCGTTCCGCTACATATTACTAAATGCTTTGAGATGTATCACACATTACAAAATTATTAAATTATTATTTTATACTATTACTTAATTGTTGTACACTAACACTATACTTCAACCCTATTGAATGTTATATAGCAATGTAACTTTAAAAAGAAAAGGCCCTGTTTCTGAGCTTGTACATGAGTGTCCAGTTGAGCCAAATTAAATAGTATTCTTCGGACGCGTCGATGCACATTTTATTCGTATGTCAAGTGGTTAATTATAGACAATTATTTTATAATTATGCATTCACCTGTGAATGTAATTTTCTCGATTAGAAGGTAAATCGTAGTTGATGACAAGTGAAACCTGTTGAACATCAATACCACGTGCTAAAAGATCGGTAGTTATAAGGACACGAGATGATCCAGTTCTAAACTGCCTCATGATGAGATCTCTTTCTTTTTGCTCCATATCTCCATGCATAGCGGACACAGTAAAATCACGGTTGCGCATGTTATCCGTTAACCAATCTACTTTGCGTCGTGTATTGCAGAAAATAACTGCTTGAGTAATACTCAATGTATCATATAAGTCACAAAGAGTTTCGAACTTCCACTCTTCACGCTCAACATTGATAAAGAACTGCTTAATACCCTCCAGAGTGAGCTCTTCTTTTTTTACCAGGATTTGAATTGGAGTTCGCATAAAGCATTGTGACACATCCAGCACATCATTTGGCATTGTAGCAGATAACAATATAACCTAGAAAGCAACAATTTCTTATCATATCTTTTTCATTATCTTACAGATAATTGTCTATCTAATACAAGTCGTATAGAAGCGCAAATTAAAAGTTCACTAATAGTACTGTAAGCATAATTATAAAACTCAACATACCTGCACTTCATTAGGTAATAATTTGAATACATCATGAATCTGCTCTTTAAAACCACGAGAGAGCATTTCATCTGCTTCATCCAGAACAAACAGTTTGATATTATTGGTGCGCAGCGCACGCCGACTAATCATATCAAAAACTCTACCAGGTGTTCCAACTACTATATGAACACCTTGATCGAGTTTCCGCATATCTTCACGTACATTGGTTCCTCCAATGCATGCGTGGCATTCGGCATGCATGAAATCTCCCAATGCAATAACGACCTTTTGGATCTATAAAACATCGAAATAATCAAATTAAATTTTATTTATGCCATAAATGTATTCATTGTTATTATACAACTAATTATTACTTACTTGTTGAGCAAGCTCACGAGTTGGAGCTAAGATCAAGGCTTGGCACTCCTTGATGCTGGTGTCAATTTGTTGCAAAATAGAGATGGAAAATGTAGCAGTCTTGCCAGTTCCTATTAAACATTGTATAAAGTGTAATTAAAGTTCTCAATTTATATAAAAGAAGAGATAAATATTAGTATTGATAATTTACCTGACTGGGCCTGTGCAATGACATCATGCCCACTAATACATGGCAAAATAGCGCGTTGTTGAATTGCAGATGGTTTTTCAAACCCATAAGCATAAATACCACGTAGGAGCTCTTCTTTTAAATTCATTTCATCGAAGTTGTCAACGACCTAATTTTTCCACAACAAAAAGCACGAAATATTCAAACACAAATGAATTGAATTTCTAATATAAAAAAAACTAAATTGTAATGATTAATTGTTTTGGGCTTTCAGCTGGAATAATTTAATAATCAACTTACAACATCCCAATTGGTCTCGATGACTCCACCTGGGTCCATCCCAGAGGGTCCATCATACGATGATTGTTCACTTTCACTAGGTCCATTTTTGGAATCTCCTGGCCATTGATCATCATTTCTGAAATATAAGTAAATAATAAATTAAGATAATGCTTTGTAATGTCAAAGCTTATGTGTTTACATCACAATTCATACATTTTTTTAAATGTTTTGTTATTACATTGATCATATTTTTAAAAGGAGAATCTGTTTCAATTTCTAACAATTTTATATTGCATACATTTCTTCGATAATAATGAAATCGAAATTGTGATAAGTAATATAAGTTTCCTAACTAAACGAGATTAAAACATGCAATTTAATGCAATAGCATCTAAACTGAGTAATACTTTATTAAAATATTAATTATTACCTACACGTGTAATGATTTGCTGCTAGAGAGAAACCGTTAAATAGATATGATAATGATTTTATTGATGACTTGATAGATGCGTTGACAGTGACTCACGCGAAAGCATGCCCTAACAGGTAAGGCGCGTTTTAATTAGAAAGACTTCATATGCGTAATTTTTCGCGGTATTTCACAAAGTATGCGGTTCCCTTCGTAATTCTTCCATCGAATTTTTCGAAAATTCATTTTTTTATTACGTAATTTTAAGTGTAAAGTAAAACGTGTTGGCGTGTCGAGTAACATGCTGGCTTATCAAAAATCAAGTTCAAAGTATAAGAAAAACGCTGCGAAGTTCAATACATTACTAATTTTTATCGTTTTGTTTTCCACGGTCAGAAGGTTAGGAAACTTGCTATCGACGAGAGATTCAGATTAAATTTGTGAACAATGTGACAAAAACGAATGCACGCCATGTTGTCAGTCTCATGTCCATGAATTCGTCGATTGCGGCACTATTTTTCGGAGTATACCGCGAACCGTGGACGTCCGATTTTGCACAATGGAAAATTCGAGAAAACATTAGATAGATGGAAAATTTTCAGAAGTCAAAAAAGCAAACACTTTTGGCGATTACACGAGAAAAACCGAACTTACCTTCGCTCAGAGGTATGCGACATGTTCCGCTCACAAGAAGTCGACGGAAAGGACGACTTCCTATTGCGTCACAAGGAATATTCTTACGAACGCCGTACAATGGCGCTGCGAGCGCTCTTCAAAATTTCACTAATCTTTCGAAGTGCTTAAACTTGTTTAATGTATACAAAACAGTGATCAAATTATTCGAGGTATATGCTTTTATTATTCATGCACTCATTTTTAATACTTTATTTAACCGTAGAATATTTTTTGCCGTACATGGTTATTGCGCATAAGGGAAGTGCGTCAATTACCCACAATCCTCTGCAGCGCTTTAGTGGGGTGCGTGAGGCAAATACGAACTACAGAAGGTAGTCTCTCGTCGCGAGCAATTTCTACCTCTCTTTCGGAGCGTTTTTATCCCCACCATTTTAATGCACATCCAGCTCCACACAGTTGGTTTAGGAAAAGAACGGGAGATAATCGAGAGAGACAGAACGAAACCAGCGGGCTCTATGTGTGAGTATCCACACGGGCGACAACCTAGGCTGTGTCACTTTACCGTGCTTGCGGTCTCACTCTTTTCGCGCATTCGTTCCCTTGGCGCTCCATCTGAAATAGGCGGCGCGATTATTTGATTTGTACTTTTCGCCCTGCAGAATTCTCGATCACACGGTCCAGCGTATTTGTGAACATCTTGAAACGACGACCATTTCTACAATTATCAAAATTTTCGAAAACTCATAAACTACATTTTAGCTAATGGTTTGTAGTTTATGAATCTACACAATTTTATTAATTCAGTCATCCCAGTACGTACTTGTCAACTGTGACGGGCAGCAATCAATGCTCTACTCTACAAGAAGGATTTTCGAAAACAATGAATAATTTTACAATTTTATACGATTTTTACTTTTAAAAATGTTAAAAACAAAGCTGAAACTTGCATTTATATTCTCTTAGAAAGACTACATATTTAATTTAGTAATTACCTACAAAAAAATTCTCAAACTCAGTTTTAGAGAATTAGAGTTAAGACTTATTGTAGATTGGAACAATTTACCAGCAAAAAAAATTGTAAAATTGTACAATTATTTGAATCGTAAAGGTGGAGCGCTAGACAAATGGATGCGTGAATACAGTGAGATCGCAAGCATGGTAAAGTAAAACAAGCTAGATTGATCGTCGGTGTGACTAGATTCGCTTGTGTTGCGCTGATATCGTGCTCTCTTGCTCACCCGCCACTTCCTCTCTTTACCTAAAACTGTGAGGGCAGCACTGTTCAGCTGTGAAGTATTAACTAATCAGAGAAAAGTAGTTTCTATACCTACTCTCATATATCTTAGCGCTTTGTCCTCAACATTGCTCGATATACCGAGGCACTAATGTATTGTCAAGACACATAAAAGTTTCGTTTATATTCCAGTTCTTTTTCAACATAATTTCTATTTGCTGCACCAATTGTGCATATACTCATATGTATACGTTATTGTATCGATCAAATATGTTAAATAATAAATTTACTAAAAGTTTACATCAAATTGTTATTTGCGTTATCTATAAAGGACTAAATTTTCAATACAACGCCAGAATAAACTGACAAAATATGCCTGCGTACAAATAGATCTTTTTTACTATCATGATTATTTTAATTATTGTAGGACATATTATTGTTAATAATTTTTTATTAAGTCTTAAAATAATAATATGTACCTTGATA